GAGTGGGGGCGAAGGCATCGAACAAGTTCGGTGGAGAGCTACCAACAAGTCACTTCATCAAGTCAAAGTTGGAAAACAACTTGCGCTAGACATCTTGGACAGCAAAGTCTACCTTGGGGAGCCGACTGCTGCTGGGTGCAACCTCTTGCTCCAACCTTCCACTCTTGACCTATGGCGACCACTCCAGCACCATTCGCGGGACGTGCGGCACCGGCTGCCGTACAACCAGCTGATGAGGACGATCGCTTCGCCTCGCCGCCTGGACTATGGTGGGTGGCATCCTATCACCCAACCTAAATCGATCCGATTTCCGCCGGACAAGGGTGCGGTACCTGCCATCGCATTCGAAGCGGCAGAATGCATGCATGCGTAGTTAATGCAGAAGGACTCAAACAGTGTGTCAATATTGTTGTTGGTGGTCCGTTTGTGTATGTACGTCGAGTGGGAAACGGCGTATTTGCTATGGATGCCCTGCACGTTCGTGATTCAGGCACGGTGGTGTGCGCAGTAATTTGTAGCATACAACGGTAAATTTCACGACAAGAGCGGTGCGGCAACTGCTGTTTCAGCCAACCAAACAGAAAGGGGTTGGTGAAGCAACGGCTTGGAAAACCAATGGGTACCAAACAGCAGCTGTACATTCCTACTCAGACTCTTAGTTGAGGCGAACGGGTCTGTCTGTGACGGAGAGCTGCAGTAGAAGATGTTGGTTTTAGCTATGTGGACTACTTGGCTTAACCCCAGGTTTGCGGCCTACTGCTGTAGACTGTTCGGACGCAGCAGCCATAAGCACTTCTGTAAGACAAAGCCGCAGCCGCCACACTCTCAATCGTTCAGCCCATCAAGAGCGCTCTCAGATCGATCGCGCCAGCAAACGCGTCAAAGCTTATCGTCTGTTGCAGTGTTATAGGAAAAATACAACGCGTAGAAGCTATCACGAACTGACTGTAAATGTAACATTTAAGATGGAAATACCACGTCAGCACTTAGCAGTGCCGCGTTTTGTTTGTATCATCCACCGTACCCTACAGAATAGTTCTGTGCGTTTGTATCATCTCTCATACCAAACAGAATAATTCTGTGCGCGTTTGTTGTTTTGGGCACCAGCACCTGCGTTGATGTTGTTGTTGTTGTTTTTGTCGTCACATTAAAAACCGTTCCGATCTCCCTCTACCCAGTACCTTCGTATGTCCGTACTGATACAACACTCGACCGGGTCGATTCCCGTGGTCGCAGGCTAACTTTCCCTAAAAAGATACACACAATTAAAATGGCCCCGAGAGGTCCGCAAGTCAAAAAAAGTCAACGACAGATATTCTGGAGTCCTCCACCCCCTCTGCGTGCGCGCTATGCGAGGTAATAACTGAGACTAGGAGTCGGAGAGAATGAGGTACACCCCCTTGTAGACAGACCTTCCGTTGCGATATACAGCATAGAACGGGCCCTTTGTTGGGCACCCGTCAGTCCATGTACACCTTCTGTTGCGGAAGATAGAACGAGCCCGGCGATAAGAAACGTCATAATCAACCCAAACCTCCGTTCCTTTTTTTGGGTCGAAAGACCAGCCGAAGTTCCATTTTCTCATGACTAGTCTAGACTACTGCTGTAGATTTCTTTCTTAATTGTGGGGCTGTCGTATGCTGCTGATAAGAATGCAGTACGGTGGGTAAATTATGTGGACACGTAAGCGCATTATGCAGGGCCCACTACGGTATACTCCTGTCTTCCAGGCTGTAGCATTTGCTGTGAAGTTTTAGGATCCAAGTCATGGAGTGATTTCTACATGCACCTGCAAACGCGTTTATCTAGATTATCCCATTTGCTTCCCCCCAACATATTGCCAACCCGGAATTTCAGCACAAAAAGGTACGGCGAACGAGATGGCTGTCAAATTCCGAGCAGGGTTTTCCCAGCGACCCACGGATGACGGACTTCTCCGCCCTACAGCTCCCCACCTCCCCTCATAAAACAAGGCTACGAACGTAGCAGTAGACTTCATGCATTCATAGATACCGTCGACCCCGCTGTAAGGACGCATGTGGTTTTCCTGAAAAAATCCTTAAAGCGGGGTTGCGTCCTTAAAATTCAGGGGACGATAGCTCACCATCCGTGGGGCCAATGGAGGCATGCTATACCTCAAACGACGCGTCTTTTGCTAAGGAAGGGGGTGGCACGAAAAGTCAGCATCGCCGAGACGACTGGCAACCGTTTGTTGACGTCAGACATATTTACACTACGTGAAATGAGATGTACAGCAGTCAGGGACGTATTGAAAACAACTATAATACAGTACACCAGTTTGTACTTGGCCACCTAATGTACTGCATAGCCGGCAGCGGAAGAAAGAGGAAAGTCCAAGTAGACATATAATTATCTCATTCTTGTGAAACAACAAAAAAAACAGCGTATTTCAGCGTCGCACCCAGGAACACCAGTACATAGCACTGTCCCGACGGAGACCAAAAGCTACCCTGATGGTTTTTCCTTCCAAACATGGCGAAGAGTTTCCAAAACTTCCCCCCGCGGCTTGGCTCTACGGCTCTGTTGAGTTTCATGAGTAAACGAATGAACGATCTTCGAAAGAAGGAAATACGTCGCACGGTACTCGCCACAACTTCACTTCGCGTGTAAATTCAGATAGCGCCCGCAGTAAATAAAAATTCTGTGAAGGAAAAGGCTCAAATTTGTAAGAAAAATATGAAAATAGGGCTTAGAAACATAGCTCAATCTCGGCCACAACGTAAGAGACGCCCGAATAAGAAACGTGATGGTGCGATACCCCCATGACATCAGAAATCTGCGGTGCTCCCAACCCCTTCCCAAGCTGAACAGAAGTGCATTTTTTTTTGTAGGGGGCAGAGTCCTNTGGTGAGGCTCGAACCGATTTTGACGTTTCTTAACTGCGGACGCTACCTGTAGGATCGAACGTCCTCCAAGCGAGAGATGACCTCGCCCTCGGTGAGGGACGAGGTTACGCACGACTCTTTTTTTTGCGGCATCAGATGGACCGCCGGCAGGTGGGAGGAATCTATTCACACCAACACCCAGTTGCAGCTGCACCAGCAGACCGCTCGCTACTTCTGCTGTCTGTGCATCGCTACTTCGGCACTCAGTGTGATGCGTGGTTCGTGCAAAGAGCGGCCCGCAGGCCCGCGGGACACAAAAAAGGGGGGTACGCGGCAAAAATGGGGGTACCCTATTATCGTATATTCTGCCGGGCCCCCAGTGCTCAGCAAAACATGTTTTCCTTCAAGCGGGGAGTTTCCTTGACGCGAGCGTCCTTAAAGCGGGGTTGACTGTACATCAACAGCCTCGTTTTGATTCTAAACGCAAAACAACTCTGTCAAGCCCTCCAAGACAGAGGCGGCGGAGATTGGTACTTCGAAGCTTCGAAGTACTGCTGTGTGTACCAAACCCGTAGCGCAGACAGAATGTGTGGTCCGCGACATGTGGCAGTAGTACTCGTGATCCCGAATATACCGCTGTGTACCACAGTAGTTACAGGCAACAACCCTTGTAGCAGCGGGTGTATATAGTGACGGCCCGACGTTCCGGGGTTCACGGTCCGTGGCAGTGAGCACGACTTTGACAATTGCTAGGTCCCGGCGCAGATTTCGAACTGTTTTCAGAAGCTGCTTCGACCGTCGATAGTTCAGCTCCAGTAGCAAACCTGAACGTGCCAGTGCACGCGACGCCTCCTCTTGCTGTCCTCTACTGATAACTGTAGAGGAAAAACTATCTGAACGGCGGGAAGGCTGCTTTTCTCTTTCATGTTGGGTTTATATATGAAAATAGAGCCAGCGCAAAATATGTAGTCTTCAATCCCTTCAAGATACAGACAGCGTGATTTCCTGGAGGAGACCAACCCCAACACTTACTCTGCTGTGCAACAACACCCCCAGCGGCTTCCGAATGGCCAGGGGTATGTATCTTGTGTGTGGTGGCTGGGCGCTCTTTTGGTTGCTCTCAAAGTCAGCCAAATACCGAGATCAGTAGCCTTCGATCCTTTCATCCTCGGCGACCACAACACCGCATACCACAGGAGAAGAATACAGCAGTAGCGAGTGTCGTCACGGTCCTATCCACGTGATAAGCGGGTATGTAGCCTGGCGTTTGCGTGGTCGCTACCACACCCTAGAGTCTGGGAGTATCGGCCCGGTTGAATTCCCAACGAGCTCCCCGGAATAGCAGAGGCACTTGTCTGCGAAAACCCAGTCTGTGAAAGGCCACATAAAAGCCTCTTAAGAGGCGATACAAAACAAATGAGTTCTCCGAAGACGCACTTCCTTCGTACTCGGCCACGCAGCTACCAGTACTAGCAGTCCCGTGTTGGTGACTTGGTTCGAACGGGACCTCGTGATTCGCAACAGGGCCTCGCGATGCTCTGCAGTGTCTGGGGGTGTGTGCGTATGCACGCAGTGTGGGCGAGGATGATGCCCTTTGGCGTGTTTGTATTTAGGTTCTTGTCCATGTCTCATGTACCCAACCATTTCGCAAGCATCATGGCGAAGCAACCATGATATCCTGCGTTGTAGAGCGCGGATGCTCATGCCTACATACAACAAGGTTATTTTGTGCATCCCTCGCTTCTGCTTTGACCAGTGGGGAAACCACAAGAGATTATACCCACTATAGGTTTTCGTGAGGGTCGGTTGAAGTTCTAATTTCTTGTAAGGCGTTGCATCCATCGATCCGAGGATCGGCAACGGGTGCTGCCAAGGATAGCCTTAGCCATGCAGTACAAGGGAATCTATAGTAGTGTTACCTTGCTACCTGATCGTGGGCGCCCTTGGCCTCTCACGCGGATTTCGCTGCGATCGGAATAGCCAACGTCCAAGCAGCCAGTCGTTCCTTTGTTGTTGCTGCTGCTGCTGCTCCTACTGCTACTGCTGCTGCTTGTGCTGCTGTGACCAACGCGCTCTTTTGCCTGTGCCCGGCCCCGTTTATTGCCTCCTCGCCACGACCACTTCGACGCGACTGATCGAAATAGGCTACCAAGAATGGTCGTCAAGGAGCACCGCCGGAAGGCCACGATCATCTGGACAGGCCTCCTGGTGGGCTTCCTAGCTTACGTTGGGTACATCATATGGGAGACTATTGAATCTCGAAAGGACCCCGCTTCGAGCATCGAGCTCAAGGTACGATGGACCACCTCACATGCGCTCCACCCCCTCCCGTACCACCAATGGATGCAGGGACAAAGCTGAAGGTCAAATGTAAAGCCGGGGGACATTGGCCCCCAGAACATTGACGAAGATTTTGGAAGGTAGACAATGACAAGTTCCAGTGTGATTGCGGCTCCGAGTGCGAAGACCGGGTTCATGTAGTTGCAGAATGTCCGCCGTTGTACAAGAAAGAGAGGGACCTGTACATGACTGAGCTGGGAAAAGTAGAAGGAACATTCAGGGAGATATTTGAGGCATGGAACAGCCAGGAGAAGACGGTAGCCGTAATGGGGCATAGCAAGTAGGTATGCGGGAGGTGATATCGAAAGGATATAGCTAGACAAGGGAAGACATTCTGAGCCACCGTCGGCAAAGTAGGAAGGAAGGATTGACCATCAGTGATCGGTCCT